AAAGGCAAATGGGACTAAAGGATGGGAAGGAGAAGCAAAGGAGGTTTGCAGGAAACCTCAGTTTCAGCTGGATAACCTGTGCTCCGTCTAGACTAGGCATCCTTATCCTCATAAATTTTTGTTAGCTTTTGTCCATTAGCTTTATCTATGGATTAGATGCACTGCCTTATGAGTTATACTTGTGGTTTCTGATTACTGTGGAGACTAATTTGGTGCTCTGTAAGGGAGACAGTGTAATTCCTGTTTGAGCTTTATTTTCTGGGATATATGAAAGGTCGCTTCGCTGATCCTAAGCACTTAAGTACTGTGAGTTTATCCTCCCAGCATCACGAGAGTGTGAAGGGAGTAATAGGTTGGACCTTTTTCATATCTCCTGAGGTTTCAAGGCTTATAGGGTTGTGTTTCCTACCTTTTCTCTCTCCGGGGACAAAACTGAAATTCCCGCTAATATTAATTGTGTGGTTTTACCGACACAGCCATATACATGCCTGTGGGTATGGAGAACCTTGGAGGTGGTCTTTGCTTCCAGCACTAGTTGCCTGGGGTCAGTGTGCATCAAAGGTGTGGGGCAGCTGGAGAGGAGCCGAGCCCTGCCAGTTGGATGCAGCCTTCAGCTGAAGCACAGGGATGGTTACAGGGATGCAGCTGCGAATCATTTGATGTTAAGGCTTGCAGAAAATAATCTGTCAAGTAGTCCCAGCTGTTTGATGTTATTGGCTTGTTCTGCCCACTTCCCCCCACACTGGATGCTCACTATCTCTATTACTGATACAGCAACAAAGTTCAGCACATCATTTGAAGAGGCCAGTTTTCACTGTAAGAGGACCAGTGATTTCTCCTCCATCCCCCCACGTTCAAAGAGCTGGTTTCTATCAGCATGGCTTTTGTGGGCTCCCATCTGCAAGGTATGAAGTTTCTAATCCCATCGCTGCCGGTTTAGGGAATTAGCTCATGCCATTGCTGTCCCAAGAGGCTCTTGCTGCTGTCCTTCATTGCAGCCATCTCTCTCTGGCCCTTCCTGAAGTGCGCAAGCAAAAGGCTGCACAGACGTTAATGCTCTGTGCCTACAACATTTTGTGGTTGCTACTAAAAATAAAAAGAGTGAAATTAATTTGCTAATAATGGATGTGCTGCTAACAGAAACACATCCCACTTGTACCTAACACCAGCAGGTTGTTTATGGCACATTTGCTATGTCTAAAAATGCTCTCTATTTTTTTTCTACCAACCAATTTAATTTAAAGACTATTTTCACACATCAATGGCTGTTAATCAGTTAAGGAGTTATCAATTTTAATATTAGGAAGAAAGAATCAGATCTCATCAACAGCTTAAAACTCTATTTCATTTCTTTTCAGCTGGCTTGCAGCAGATTATGGGGAGTCTTAGGCTCATCTTATTTCTCCTCCTTTTCCCGCCCCCTTGAAAAGAGAGATATAGTACCATTACGTGCGTGACCATACTGTGCTAGTTCTATGTATCCTTTCAAGAGCTGTTGAATTAGAAAGACTGAGATAAAAATATAAGAAGACTAAAAAAAGATTTAATTAGAAATTCAACCCCAGACACCTATGTAATTTTAAATAAAGTCATGTATACTTCATGAAGAGATTGTAAGGTTGACTGTCAGAAGAGGAATGGTAAGATAAGACCAAAACCCAAGGTACGTGCAAGGTAAGGTGCAGGCTGTTTGTGGCCCTGTTCTGCTCTAAATCCAATTTCCAAAATATCTGAGACATTGACACTAGTGGCAGAAAAATGGCATGGTACCAGCCCCTTCTTTTGGCTGTTGAGCTCAGCCAAGACTCTGCCCATCCGGCTACTGTGATACCTGCTCTGCAGTATGGAGCCATAAGATGTTCCTGGGTCAGCTTTCATCTAACAGCATCCATTCCATCACAACATCCCTGTTTATTAGAGAATTGCTGCTTGAATCACCTCACTGGCTGTCCTCTCCTTTGTGTCGTGTACAAAGCAAACACAGGAAAGGGTACAGAGAAAAGTGTTATAATAGATATTAGTTATGCTGGAAACACTCACGCAGCTACAGCTGCTTCTGCTCCTGAGTGCAAGTGTTGTGGTTGCCATCAGGAGTGGTCCCCAAGCCACTGGTCCTGAGAGGCTGGAAGGCTGTGCCAGGGGAACCCTGAAAAATTCCCCTCTGTCCTCCCCAAGGCCTCTGCTGCAAGGGCGTGGACTCAGCACAGCACCACTTGCTGTGGTAATTCTTGCATTTGTTTTTATTTTCTATTCTCCCATTTCTTACACATCCCATCTCCTGCCCCTGAAGTCTTCCTTTCGAACCGACACAAGAATGTTTCACGTAGATACAACAGCACGCTGCTCTGCTGGCTGTTTGTTATGAGGACTCATGTTGAAATCTTTAGTGTAATTTAATGCTCTTGAATGTTGCTCCTTATACCTTTCGGATAGAGAAGGGACTTGCCTGACCCATGGGAGCCTGCAGATTATACAAAAATTGGTCCAGTTCAGTTTCATTTCACATCCCTCATTAAAACATGGGTTATTGGTGTTGTACATCTGTTGGCTCCGTACTTATTCATGAAAACGTAACATTCCCTTTGAGCTGAGCTACGTATCATACCGTCATTAACAAGCTGCACCTCGTTGAAAATCTGTCAAGGAAAACTGACTTATTTTGCATTTGCTGCTTTGCACAAAATAGAAGCACAGTAAACTCTTGTGCCATAATGATTTTCTGTCTGTCTTGATGGGACATAATGAGATAAATTCAAGTCCTTTTTTGAAGGCTAATTACATCAAGTGCACACTGGATGTGGGCTGCCCTTGTTATATGTTGCGCATTTTTGTGCTTTCATTTCCCCACCTCTGTTGTCTGTGTGTGCAAGTGAGTTTGATTTGGCTTTAAAATACAAATTGTAGGCTAGAGAGGAGCCGTTTGGTGGTCTCCTCTCCCCAAAGACTCTCCAGAGATTGTATAACAAGTCCTTGCTGTAGGTAGGGCAGCTTGAAGGTGGCTGTGAAGTAAATAAGAGAACTTAACTCTGTACTAGAAACTGAGGAATGCGCCATAAAGCATGAGGGCAGCTTGTGGTAAGTCCGCTAACAGCCATCAAGAATAAATCCAGCCCTAGGTCTGTTCACCGGTCCTGGTGTATGGACACAAAGCAGATGAACTGCATCCTGCAGAGCTCGTAGCCTGGGTATGGAGCACTAGTTGGAAGATGAGCAATTTTGGAAACTGGGTTTTTAAAACCTGTAAATTCCTCCAGTCCTACTAATTGTTCTCTAGCTGTCTTGTGGAAAGAAAAGGGAGCTGAGGGAAGGTGTGGGAGGGTGCCCGGTTTGGGGATGTCAGCAGGGATGCTGGAGATGAGCAAGGGTAGGATGGAGAGGCTGCAGATGCGTGGTGGAGACCTGGCAGCCCATGATGGGCCTGGGAACTGCTTCAGGGTTGTGTGTCTCAAGGTCTGGGCAAGGCTGGAGGTGGAGCCTGGGGGAGGTCTATTGGATGCTCTTGGGTTACACCCCTTTTGATGCATGAGTGATCTTTATCAGCAAAGACTTGCTGGTAGGCTCTAGGAGCTAGGAGTTGATATGCAAGTGTCACCTTTGGTGAAGAAGCTAGTGACGCAAAAGGGAAGATGTCGAAAGAGTTTCTCTGGTACTGCAGGAAGCAGAGCCAACTGTAGAGGCAGTTGTCGTAGTTGGTCCATCAGAGGAAAAGCAATCACCTATCTACAGTGAAGATGAATTCTGTCATCACTGGCTGAATTTTAGCACATGACCTTTGTGCAGTGATTGTCTGGGACATTCCTGGTGGGATAATACTCATGCTTTTGCTGTGAGCTCATTTTCCTTCCAAGCTAATTACAGCTGGGGAAGTTTGAATGCAGATGGAAAGGCTCTGGGATTTCCAGGTAACTCCTGTTAAGTCTGATAGCAGACCTGTGCACCTATGATATCGGGCAGAATTATTTTAGAGCATCTCTGGAGGAAAAAAAAGTAGCAGTGCATTGGAGCTGCTTTAACATGTCTTCATGTCTCTGCATTTTGAGAAAAACAGAAAATCAAGTTTTCCTCCTTTTGCTAACAGTGATTTGTAATACTACATGTAACGGTATGTTTACAGGGCCAGCTGTTTTCTTTCCTAAAGCCAGGATGGATGTGTGCAAACCTGTGGCTGTCACCGCTCCTGGCTGAGTGGGCACGTGCAGGTGAAGTGCAGAGTGCTTTGCTTAGGTGACAGAGCACTTGTTTCAGGAGGCTGGAAACACTATAGTACTGGATTCACTTCAAATTATTAATAAAAAAAAAAAAAAAAAAAAAAGAAAAAATAATCCCAACACACAGCTTTATATTATATTTGTGAGAACAAAAATATCTCTCATATCAGTCTTTGTGCCTTGTCATGCATATATAGTGGAGCTGGAAGGAATAGCTTGTATGGTGAGCGTGTCTGGTTCAGGCCATACCCAGAGCAGTCTGTCTTATGTGGAGCACTTTAAAGTTCATCACAGGTTTGCAGGGGAAAAGACCCTAGGGAAGTAGCCTTATCACAGTGTCTTAAAGCTGTCGATCTTGAGATCCCCTCCACCATCATCTTGCTATTTGTTTGCCAAGACATTGATTTCTGGGTGTAGAACAACTTAAACGAAAACCATGAGGTGTATTTTACCTGTCTAAGACTGAATGAAAAAAACCCCAAACACAATAATGTTTTCTAAAGCAGAGCCCAAAAGATGTTACCTCTAATGCATTCAGCAAGGAAAATAAATACCCAGCAAAGGCAGATGCTAGGGGAAAAAAATAATCAACAGCTTCTCATTCTCTTTTCATGCGGATACTTAAGTATGCACTGTCTGTTAGTGGCATAGAATGTTTTAAAATATGGAAACCAAATAGCTTGTGAGTATTTGTTTTCTAGCTGAAGATATGGGGTTTTTTTTTTTAAAAGGAAATGTGAAGAGACTAATTTTATGATGGGAGAGCTTAGCCTGTGGTTCTTCTTTTCACAGTATGCAGACCTGGGTTCTTCAAAGCTTCACCCCACAGTCCATCCTGCAGCAAATGTCCCCCTCACAGCTACACGCTTGATGAAGCATCCACATCTTGCCTGTGTGAAGAACACTATTTTAGGAAGGAATCAGACCCACCTACAATGGCCTGTACAAGTAAGCATGTGCTTATAGGGTTGTTTTTAATCCTTTTGAGCTGTTCCTGTACTGTGACTGGACATTGTGATCCTAACTAATGTGCTTTTACAGGCTCTGGGCTGGAGTCTGGACTAGTCTTGACACACACGTAATGTCACTGGCTTTGTCCACGGTACCCTCAGTTACACGAGAACAGGCTTTTCGAAGCCTTTTGCTTCAAAATCTGGCATTAAACCCAGGAAGCGTTTCTGTAACAAATGGATGCTCTGTCTCTGACCGTCGGCTCATGGTCGGACTCAGCCAGCAATGTGGCGTTCAGACATCTGCATTGGCGCGTGAGTGGGTACCGGTGTGGGGCACGCACGTGGAGGAAACAAGGGACAGCGCTTGTCAGCGGAAGGCCACGGATAGCGCCTACGTGGTCCTGCTTAGTATCATCTCTTAGCTTATTTTCAGTAAACAAGCAGGGAGAGAGCCCTACCTTTCCAAGCTGACTGGAGATGGTTGTTCTTCAGGGTAACCTCAAAACTCTGCGATGGAAGTTGCTTCTCCAAACCTGCAGCAAAAATGTAGAGCTTATCCCGTTGGTGTAGGAGGAGGGAGTATAGCAAGCAAATTGGGTATTGGGAGTCCACGATGGAGTCAGTGGAATCAGAATCACTAATTTTGCCCTTTTCCTGCCATCTGTGAGCTATTCTATCAAGTTGTACCTTGAAAGTTTCTTGTCCAGCTTATGTTTCAGATACTTAGGGCCACAATTTGCCTGCCCCCAGCTAGTCCCAGCAAGTGTAGCACAAGCCACAGGTTTTTGCTGAGCTGGGTCTGTCATGCTCAGAATGTGATTTTGCCAGTGCAAAAGTGGTTAAAAAGGACCGAAGAGGAGCTGAACTACTGGGGCAGGAGCAAGTAGAGCTTCCAAGGAACTTAAGCAATGGAGGAAAAAGTAGGTTTATGAGTCCATGCAGTCAGAGCCACTGGGCAACGGTGCAGAGGTGACTTCCATACTGTTTCCTTGCCTCTTGCGGGCATGATAGTGGCTTTTTGTGCCTTCATCCCAGTGAATACAGACATCCTTCCTAGCTTCCTAAGTTTGCACTTCAAAAAAAGAAAAGAAAAAATCTGTTCCTGTTGGAGAGACACTCTTGCAAAGGAAATTGCCTTCGGCAGGTCTCTGCTTGCCCGCAGGAGGTACTTGGAGCAGAATTGGGGCCCTTGAACTCTGCATTTGCTTCTCATCCGCCAAAGGAGCGTGAAGCACGTGGGTGTGGAAAGGTGTTCTGCAGGGAAGGAGAAGGCAGCCTTAGGCAGCGTGGCAGTAGCTGATGGTGTAGGATCAAAGTGGTCGGGGAGGGGCAAGCCATGCAAGCACTTGTCAGTTTATTAAATAGATATGCCGCCGCTGTCTTTTGGAGCGGTAGCTAGGGTGGGTTACAGCATGAAAGACTTTGATACCAGGTCTTCTTGATGTCCATTTTGCCCCTTGGCCTGACTTAAAAAACATAGATAAATGAGAGACAATGAGGTCCAGTGTGGTATGGGGAAACAGGAAGGGAGAGGAGTATTCTGAGCTCTGGAAACACACATAAAATTGGCTTTTCTGTGCAGGCAGATCCCAAGCCAGGGACTGATACAGAGTTATGCCAGACTGCCAGTGCCCACAGTGCCTCCTGCCCGCCGTCGGTGGTGGTGCTCTCTGTCCCTTCTCAGGATGGAGGGTTGCTCATCCAGCCTGCCTTGCTGCTGAATTAGCACAGGGAAGGAGCTGCTGTCCCCGAGGAGGAGGTTTACGAGTGCCTGTGACCTGAGTGTGGGGCAGGATTTTCCCCAAGGCAAACTTAGTGACCAGCAAATGTTAAAAAGAAATGAAATTTGAGTGCCTGTCTCCCCCAGGTTTCTGGTCCAATTTGAATCCTGTAGGTCAAGGTCGGAATTTCTGATTCTGCAAATACCATGGGATTTTTTTTTTAATGTTTGTTTGGGTTTTTTATGCTTATTTGGGTTTTGTTTGTGGTTGTTTTGGGGTTTTTTTTTTAAAGTTTGTTTGGGGGTTTTAATATTTTGGTGGTTTTGTTTTGTTTTGTTTTTTTTCTGTTTTGAAAGCTTACTATAAGGTAGTTTAAAGCACAGGGATGGTGCCTGAAGCTGTATTAGGCTATGGCTTGGCAGGGTACCCAGCACTTCTGGGGCAGATGAGAGGTCTAACGCTGACCAAGGCACTGCTCAGCTTCTGTTGCCCATTGCAACCCACCTGTGCAGCAGTTGAGGATGTTGCAGCATCTGCTGGCATTCACACTTACCACCCCAAAAGCAGAGATCATCTGAGGCTTCTCCATGTGCTTTGGTCACTCTTGCTTGCCCTATGCATCTTTTCTTGGGATTTTGTCCTAATCCAGCTATATTGGTGCTGAAGCGGATCAGGAGGGCCCATGTGCTACCCCAGCTCTGCTGCAGGGATAGTAAATTTTGGCAGGGACGTTAAAGAGTAGGTAGCGACATTAACATTTTAAACCAGTCTGATTAGATCTGGAAGGGAACATCTCATCATGAACTGAAATGCAAGCAAGACAGACCTGAGTCATGACTGGTAGGAAAATATTGCAAGTTTTTTGTATGTTATTATTTATTACAGCAGAAGTTAATAATATTCATAGGATTCCCTCAACTTGAAATCTAGTTAATTTTAGAGAATACATCAATGACTGTTTTCAGCTGTATACCTGCAAAGTCCCCTTGCCAGTTGGTATAGCTATACAACCACATTTTCCTAATTTAAAGTGAATGCTTTTCAGTCCCAAGCTGCATGAGTCTCTCCATCACCACCAGCATCACTAAAGAAAGCTAACTGCTACACCACTGTCAACTGCTCACATAAGTATGGGGTGGGGGAGAAGGGGATAAAATGCATTTTTATTTAATTTTTCCAGTTCCTTAAGCATGTTTTATAAGTAATGATTGGTAATTTTTAAATTAATAGTGCTGTGATGCAGTCTGAAATAATTATTGCCCTCAGACAAAAAAAAAAGTTTGGTCCTGATGGGCGTTTGAGAATTCTCTTAATATTATTATGTATCTTCTAGGACGTAATTGCGCTGTATTTCTTCTTAACTAAGTAATCCTAGCTTCAGTTCCTTGTACAACATCTCTGTAAAATGAAAACATAAAGTTACACCCTTTTTTTTTCCTCCCCTCCCATCTCTGACAAGTAACCCTCTTGCTGTTCAGAGCATATTGGGGAAATATTTTAATAGTATGACACATGGGACAATCTGAAGATTTTGTAGTATTTAGTGTAATATTCTACCTGCAAAAAGTTTACAGTTAACTTTATTTTGATTGTGTACATATATATATTTGTATCTCAAGGGTAATTTCTCTCTCAGGTTATATTTTTAAAATATGTGCATCAGCAAACAACAGCTTTGCTGTCCATCAAGAAAAATACCAATATCTTCCTCTTCAGAAAGTATTTGCCTCTGGTCAGTAAATCACAGTGCAGAAGGAGTGAATCTTACCTGCTTAGGGTATAAAGTAGCAAACTAAAAAATATATACATATTAAAAAAAAAAAAAGAGTAATCCAATATCTTTGTCCTTGACAAAAGGAGGTTGGAATTTAAAACAAACCTTCTTAGCAGACCTAGGAGCCCCCTCTTCCAAAGGTAAAACACTGTTTTGTTTTCCCAGCTGTGATTTATCAAAGTTTTACCCAAGTGCGATTCTAGGATTCTTCAAGTAAATCTTGTTAGATATCTATAGACTACTAGAGACCTTTCTCTGAGCCCCTGTGAGAATGCTAATTTTATAGGTTATGAAGTCCCAAAAGGTCAAAGCATTTCCACTGAAGTTGATGTTTTTAAGCATTCAAGAAGAGCAGCTGACTCTTCCATACAAAGCAAGTAAAAACCTCTGGTGACTTTACAAAAGTAATAATTTATCCCCCATTAAAGACACGTTGTCCAGTAAATGTTTCTTGTGCCTGAGTTCTTTATTTTTTCCTAGAGTACTGGTAGCAGTAAAAGGGCATTCATCCAGTGGAAGAAAAAATAGGGTAACTTAACCAATAAAAAGCATATTAAAAAAAAAACTGAGTGCAAGATATGTAACTCCGCACAGCTCCAGAGATGAATTTCATAGTTTCCCTTATATCAGTACAAGTATGACAGTGCAGAAAATAGTCCTGACTTGGGCTGTACCTTGGTGTCATTAGGTAAATAGCGCTGGGTCCCCCTGGCACAGATTGCGAGCGGCTTGATCCCCACTCATAGTGATCACAGAACAAAACAAAGCTGGTCTGCCATTTCCTAAACTTAGCTTTTGTCTTCAACTGCTTTCCACACACACAGCCCCCGAAGTAAAAAAAAATATCAGGATTATTTATTTCCTCTGGCAGTGAGTTCCTCATTTAATCAGAACAGCTTGAGTCAAAATCATGACAGTGTTTTATCATTGTTACCAATTTTATAGACTTAAAAAGGGGAATAGGAAAGGGAAATAGAGGAAAATGCTTCTGGTTTATAAGGTAATTTCATTTTTGCAACACTGCCTGTTTTAAATAACAGATCTAGTTTAATTATCACAACAATGTGAGAAGATGACAGACTAAGACAGGCTGTTAAATTCGTATGGATTTCTAGCTGGTGAAGCTACTTGTCAGGCTCTTTTCAAGGAACTGCTCATGGGTTTTGACAGCTTCATTCACACCAAAGGGGAGCGTGTTGCCTTCCCTCCTCGACCTCCCTTGGAAAAATCCCAGTCCTTTGGTGGTGCCGTGACTAAAATCCATCCCAGCTTGCTTCAATAAATTTCCCCTTTCTTCCTTGTTCATTAGCATTCCCTGAGTATGTAAGGTGTGGATCTCTTGCATGAGATTCCTGCTTGTCCTTTCACGTTGTCTTCAGGGGGTATCTGTCTTGCCCTTCATCTCCAACACAGGCCTGTTAAAAACGAAAGCTTGCAGCACCTTCTGCAAGTAAGCAGTCTTGAAGGTGTCTCCAGGTGGCCTTTGCTTGCCCAGCCGTGGCCTTTCCCAGCAGGAGAAAGGAAAACAGCTCACTTTTTGCAGGAGCTCTGGTACCTCTGTAGCAGCTGTTCCTCCTTGGATAGCCTTGCCAACGCCACGCTGGCGTCCTGAGCGGGGAGGTTTGGCAAAATCAGCAAGCGCAGTGTGGCTAACCAACCGTGCTAGCGCTTGGCAGGGACCAAGAAGGCTGCCATCGAGTAGCTGGATATGGCTGTGTTTCCAGTGGCCTGTGTAGATCACCATCTGCTTTGGGCTACATTGAGTGTCTCACTTAAGTGTGATTTGGATGCCCAAGCTTAAGTGTCACTGTTGCCCAGTAGCTGATGGGGAGAGGTGGGTACATGCAGAGGAAAGTTTCGGCATCTGAGTTGAGTACCTAAGTAGTGTGAATACCCCAGTGCATATCTTTTTAGGACCTGGGACTAGTAGTATAGGGGCAATGGGGTGGGGAGGGGGAATCTTGCCCCTGGTGAAGCTGACAGTGACTTGAGCAGAGCAAAAATTTGCAGCTCCCTTTGCAGGAAGAGCAAGGAGAGCACCAGAGGCAATGCCCCGGAGTGGAGTGCTCCTCCTGTTGGATTTGAGCCAGCCCCATGTCTTCTCCTGTGCAAGTGGTTGCATCCCAACGTATACCCTTTGATGTGAGGTGGGAGTGCTCAAAACAAATCCCCCTTTTCCCAGTTCTTCGGGTGCTGCTGCAAATGGACCCCATGTACTTTTTGGCACATGAGCAATGGGGCGTCTCTTTTCAGCCTAGAGAGTAGTAGAGCAGGATGACTGATAATACTGTTTTTACCATGTGTTTTTCTCACTTTACAAACCAGGACCCCCCTCTGCTCCTCGGAGTGCCATCTCAAATGTTAACGAGACTAGTGTCTTTCTGGAATGGATTCCCCCCGCTGATACTGGTGGAAGGAAAGATGTGTCTTATTATATTGCATGCAAGAAGTGCAACTCACACTCAGGTCTGTGTGAGGCGTGTGGCGGTCATGTCAGGTACCTCCCCCAGCAAACCGGCCTGAAAAACACCTCTGTCATGATGGTGGATCTGCTTGCTCATACAAACTATACCTTTGAAATTGAGGCAGTGAATGGAGTGTCCGACCAGAACCCTGGAGCCCGGCAGTTTGTGTCTGTAAATGTAACCACAAACCAGGCAGGTAAGTGGATCTTCAACCTGGGGAAATGTCTGGGGTGGGAGCCTGAACCAGACAGACCCAGTGCAGACCTCCCTTTGAAATGGGTGGGAGTCCCCAGCATGGAGGGCTGGACTGTGGCCTCTTCAAATACGGTGGGGGGATGGGTGGTTGTGTCTCATAGATTATAATTACTGCAGTCTTCAACATGTTTCCTTCCAGCAGGACACGCTTTTAGGATTAGTGGCTTTTTCCTTTTACACTAAGCTACTCGGAGATCCCTCCGCTTCTTTGCATTTTGGTGTATCTACCCACTAAACCAGAAAGAAAACAGTTCTCTCTCCTGTTGGGAAAGGGAAATTTCTAAGAGTTCATTTTGATCCCATATGCCAATGGTTAAAATGTCCTAACTTTGCAAACAGTTGCCCTAAGGAAATTGCTTTGAGGGACTTTAGGAAATTTAATCCCTCTTCTGCACTGTGATGCTGAAGTGACTGGACTCAGGCTGGTGAGATACGGTACATTGTCACTGCTTCTCCAGCAAGGTAGGGCTGAGATGTCATTGCATATTGTGTCCTGCTTGGTTTTGCACTGTACAGGCAGAGATCATGTAAACTGGTTTGTTCCTTTGTCCAGGGCTCAGATCTGTCTGCCCTTCCTTTGCCCACCAGTTAAAAAGAGCTGTCGCCTTGGGCGCAGGCAGGGAGTTGCCATTGTCCCCTGTCATTTGGAGGTGTGATGGGAGGCAAAAACATAATTACATCTCCTTCCATGCACGCTAACACACCAGGCACAACAGCTTCTGTAAGCCCAGGAGACCTTTCTACCCTTCCTCTCTTGTCCCTCATGCTCTGTGGTTTTGCCTACCTGCCACTTAATTCAGGGCTCCCCAGTGGCACTTGTCCACTGTGGACTCCTTCCAGGAATGTGACCTGGTGGCATTTGGGATGGTGAGGACTGTCCTGCAAGATCGCTGGAGCCACCCCTTGTCTTCTTCTTACAGACAAGGCTTAGCCAGGAAATCTGGTGCGGTACACAGCGTAACAGCTAGATGGAGGTTGGCAGATCCTCCCTGTGGAGCAGAAAAATGCTAGCTGGAGCAGGGCCGCGTTTCACTCCTGCTACCCAGGTGTACGTGCGCGGGCTTGGCAGCCAGCAGCAGGAGAGTGCGATTGCATCGCACTTCATCAGATGCCTGTCCTGGTAATTTGACTGGATTGTTGAAGTGTTGGACAAATCGTTCGGATATATATCTCAAGGAGAGGAAATAAAGGCATGCCGGGGTTGCTGCTGATGGATGTGGCAGGACATCTTCTGGAGGAACATCAGCGGATGGCAGTATGACACCTGTCGAAGGCACCTGCTTAATGCAGATCAGTGGGTGTCACGGTCCTAGTGCTGTTTGCTGTTTTCCCGTGGTGAAGGCTGCTGCCAGTAACTCTGTTGTTGGAAAAAGTATATTATCCTGTTAGTGGGTTTGCATTAGTATTTCATTGCTGGCATTGGATTTTCCCTGATGTGCGGAGTTAAATCCACATAAACCTCAGTAAACGTAGCTGCATGAGAGATGATACATCGCTGATCAGTGCAGACTCTGAGGAAACGGTCCTGGTTTGTGAGTTATGTCCCAGACTCCCCATAGTTGCAGGAAGATTTATCCACGTAGCTGCCTTACTGTGCATCAGGCCAAGAATAACCTCCTTGCACAGTTATACTTCTTCCAGCCTTATATCGAAAGGTCCGTTATAGGAAATGGTAGACCTGTGGCGATCATGGCTCGTGCTAAGGACAAGTGGGTAAGTGTAGCTACTGGTTCTACTGGTTCAGTCTCACTGTTTACCCTGGTGGAGCCAGTCAAGGGAGATACTAATGGATCAAGCCAAGAGTGTTTAATTCACTGTGTTGGAATTGCATTTGTGTGCTCTTGTGTTTGATTCAACGGGAGGCTGAATCAGACCTCTGTCCGAAGCAAGGAGTGGTGACTGTATTTTGTTGTCTCTCTGACTGGTCCCACCACTTGTTCAGGAGGAGAACCAGGCCTGTCTTCTGGCGCTGTAGCATCAGACGAGCTTCCCAGTAATGTGCTCTTTCGGCACTCCCATCAGTTTGTCCATGCCAGAAATAAAGCAGCCGTGGAGGGGGACTTTGCAAATCAGACTAGCTGCCAAGCATGGAAAGTGGATATCTGTTTTCTAAGGTGCTTCTGAAAAATGTCCTTTGAGGCAAGTAATGGAGGTGTGCAGGTGAAGTGGTCCATGCCTGGCCATGCCCAAAGATGCTGAGTATCTCTGAAAAGTCCTCTCAGATAAGAGCAGGCAGGGCACATGGGGCTTCAGGGAGTCTCAGCCCACGCATCTTCCCCTGAAATTACCACCAAGAGATGCAGTTCTGGGGCCTCATCCTTTCCCTTGCACAGGTTTTCTGATGGTATGATTATATTTTCATGAAGGCTGGTGTAATGAAGTTGAGTCACTAAAGGTAGTGACAGAAGGCCAACTGCAGCCGTAGGAGAAATCCTGCTACAAGAACTGCTGGCTGTGGAAAATGAAAAAATTGCATGCTGTGGGATGAGTCTGGCTGCTGGAGTCCCGCTGGCAGGTATTCACTAACCCAGCACTGCAGAGAAATGCCAGGGTCTGTTTGGTTGGTTTGGCTTTTGTCCGTCCCCAAAAGACCATGCTAATTTCAGGACTGCAAAGAATGCGCAGGCAGCGGGGTGCTGGGCGCACCACCTCTTCTGTGCATGGGAGCTTTTGGCAGCAGAAACTACCTCTGGTTTGAGCTCTCAAAGGGATTGCTTCCTGAAAAAATTGTGGTTTTCTCCAAAATAATTTGTCCCCCTTCCTCTCTCCCCAATTTAAAATAATGAGAAAAAGAATTGGCACTAGCAATCAGTCTGGCATTTTCAGACTGATGTAATTTTCTTCTGAACTTTTGAAATCAGATTTGGAAATACAGCAAGGAAACAGTAACGTTTTGTGCACAAGAGGAGGCAGATCAGCTAATCTCAGCTGGTGACCCCAGCATGCTTCTGCTCCCTCAGTGCCTGGGGACCTGATGGTGCTTGGGATGAGACCGATCCATGCAGGACTCAGTGGCCTCAGGCTCTGGATACAGGATTAGTTCCCCTGTCACCCTCTTGCAATCCCCAAACCTCTGTTGTTTCTGTGGGATTTGCAGATGTTTTCTGCTGAAAAACATGTATCTAGAAAGGGTAGGCAATGCCACAAGCCAGGGGAGATGGAAAGTGTGCTGGCCTCCATCGTGACTACCCTAGAGCTGCTGCAGGCAGAGGACCTCGTTCCTTTCGTAGGCACATGGGTTGGCCAAAACATGGTTCTCCCCTATGGGATCGCTGCAAAATAATGCCCAAGGGATTTCCCGGCACAAATGGCAGGGAGCCATCTGTAATGCACTCTCACAGCGCATTAAAAAGTGTGCCTTGTGCATATGGGCTGGAGCCCAGTGAATAATTCATAAGTGGCAATGATAGGATGGGGTTAGCCATCCTTGTCTCGTTCATGGTTTTGCTCAAGTTTTCATATTTTTGAAACTGCCACCTAATGCCCCCTTTTTAGACGGTTTTCAGAGAGCAGTCTGCGTGTGCCACTAATATTGAAGTTTGCTTTTCAAGTGACAACTGTGCGGTGTTTTGTTTTTTTTTTTCTCAGCAATTTCACCAAACTGGATGATTAAGTAACGCCATCACTCTGGACAGAGATGTGCATCTCCCTTGAGGTCTTTTGTCTTATCTGCCCTGTAAACAGAAAGCACCTACCATGACGTCTTGGTCAGAGACGTGTGTCGTGTAATGGGTCCCTAGGGAGCAAGCAGTTGTGATTCATGGTTGCCTGCATGCCTGTTGTATCATCATAGGAGCACACCAGGAAGATGTAATGTTTAAAACCTTTCAAGGCTTAAAACCTGCCAAGAGTATTCACTTTAAGACAGCCTAAACAGCTGAGCAATTTTCTTTGCTTTTTGTTTCCAGCATCTCCCATTCTGGGCATGGCTTCAGGCACAGAGCTGGCCTGGAGGTGGGGGGTGTGAGAGTGGGGCAGTTCTCCTGCTGGCACCCCAAATGCCATGGACTCCTTTACACTTAAACACCTTCTCTGTGTGTGTTTTCAGATAAGCTCCCTGACTGTTCCCTGTCTGAAAAATCAGAAGCCAGCGTTCAATCCCCTTCTGTGACCAATATGATATTTTCAAGCCTTTTGGGGAAGAAGGGGAAGAAAGATCTGGACGGGCTTGCTGACAGAGGAGGAGTTAACGTGTCTGATGCCTCAAGGAGTCTGCATGCTTGAGGCCAAACCAGAGATACAAGTTGCATCCTGCAGTGCAGCAACACTAGTTAAGCAAAGGTGTTGGAAGACAGGACCTGGCAGTTTGTACTGCTGCCTGGGAGGCATGGCTAAGTTCTTGCTTTACCAAAAAAACCAATAGATGCTTGCAGCAGCTGGAAAGCTCTTGGAGCAGGGAGGTGTGCTGAGAGCCGTGATCCTCTCTCTGATTGTGCAAGCTGGGATGCTGCAGTGGCAGGGAGCAAGGGACAAGGTGTTTTCCTTAGCACTTGGGATGTACCAGTTTTTGAAAAGCAGCCAAGGCGATTCAGAAAGGGAAACCTGCAACATAGAACTTGTTGCAATCTTATGTCAGCAGCTGTGTGCTCTTGAAACAGATAGACTGCAGCCCTGCACAGTCTGGGAAGAAAATACCAGAAAATGAGGCAAGAAGATGGCTGTGTTGGGAAGCATGTTTTTAGAGATTGCCTTTGGGAATGGACCAGTTCCTGTAAGGTTCAGGGTCCGATGCTTGCAACTTCCAAGTCTCACAGGCTTATTTGGTGTGGCTTGGGGAGGGGGGCAGCTTGCTTGTTTTCTTGAATAACAAAAAATTTCCAAGAGGATTCTCCAGTAGATGCACCATGTTGCATGCATCTCACATGAGAAGCAAGACTGGATTTGCAGCTCTGCTTTTCAACCCGAACTGCTGGCCTAGGGCCTGCAAAAGCTTAAGCAGAT